ATATATATATATATATATATATATATATATATATAATATAGTTTTTATATCAATTAAATTTATATAATCTTAACAGTAAAGTGTAGTACTTTTGCATGCATTTTATTCATATATAAACTTCTAACTAATAAAAAAGTTATATAATGCAATAAAGTAAATGTCTCCGTAACCAAATATTTGACAAGTAGGTGTTTTTATTTTTCTCTATCTTTAATATCGTTTAAGGATTTAATATTTAAAAAAAAATTATAATACCTCTTGTATTATTTTGTAATCATATATGTAGATATGTCCAACTATTGGAGCATTTATCTTATTGTTAGTAAATATAACGATTAAACATTAAAAATTTTTAAAGAAAAATTTAATTTTAGAGAAAAGTTAATTAATATTTTTTCATAATATGTAGAATATTGCTTACATAGAATACATTTGTAGTAAAGAAACTATGTATTTAATTAGTTAGTAAATAATTTGATAGTATTCCAAAATTTTTTTCAAATATGTAATATGAGACAGATATAATTAGATTTTTTGATTCCGTGCTTCATTATTATATTATCTTATAATAATTGCATGATTAAGAAATAATCGCATTGATCCTCAAACCTTTTTATCTCCGTATCTTTGTTTTCTTCAGTATCTGTAGATTTCGTAAATATGCGGATCAATTTTGTACGAAAATTCTTCTCAGTTGCACAATACTGACCAAAAGTCCATTCCATAATTTGGTAGCCTTAAGAAATGGTTGATGAACAGAATTAAGCCACAAAGTTTGTAACAGATCTGTAAATATGATTCGTATCGTTAATAGGCTTATATTAAAAAATTGTGAAGAATAATACAGTTATTATATAGATTAAAGATTATCGACTTAAATATTAGAAATAATAGGAAAAAATTTGAATTTTAGAAAACATTAGTCGATAGTTTTTTATAATATGTAAAATAAGTTTTTGAAGTACAAAAACTTTGAATTTGATAATTGATTTTTCTTTAATAGTAATAACCTTTGTAGTAATAGTAAATATCTCAACGAACAGCAATTAGGCCGCAAATTTGAAAAGTTGCATTTAAACATATGAATACGCTTGAAATAATAACAAGCATTCTTGTGATTTCAATGTGTGATGTTTCATTGTCAGAATTTTTTGCTTTTTATCGGAGGCAGCGAAATTTAAAATCAAGTTTCTTCAAATACGATTATGCTTGCGGATGTTGTGCACTATTAGAGCATTAAGAATTGCTATTATTGTCGTAGGTGAGACAATCGTTATAATAGCATCGATGGCATTTAAAATCTACCGCCAGCAGTCTAAGTTTTTTATATTATATTTTTTATAACTGATTCTGTACATTGCACTCATAATAAACCATGGGATAGAGTATAAAATTGTTAATCCCATCAGTTTGTTCACTACGATTTTTGCTCGATTGACTGTGTCAAAAAAACGACAAAATAGCGGCCACTTGATTGCTATATACCGTTGAATAGTAAAGGCTACTACAATCCTCACATTCAGCAAAGCAAATAACTATTGCAAACAAGACAAAAGAATATCTAACCAATCTTCATAATTTATAATATCCCTCCATTCGAACCATATAACGAATAATGTCATCAACACAGCAATGTCGCTCCTCGCAAGTGCACCTAAGTTGATGCTGAATGAGTTGTAATGTAGTTTTGTGATGAAGAGCACATACACGGATAGATTGTTGCCTAGCAGACAAAGACACAAGAAAATCGGCATGCAGTACTGTTCAATGTGATCAATCACATTTAATGTTAGATTAATTTCGTCGGTCATCTTTGCGTATTGATTGCAAATTGTTTGTAGAAGTTATTAATGACAAGAAAACAGGAAGCGTGTGAGCGTTGAATGAATAAATACTTGTATCATGGTTTATCGTTACATTACCTTATAACAATTGAATGATTCAATATCAATCGGACTATTTCTCATAACTTTTCACATCCACACTTTCTCCCTTTTTAGTATCTGAACATTTCGTACAAATGCGGATCACTTCTTTGCGAAAATTCTCTCCAGTTGCATAATACAGAATAAAGTTTATCCCGTGATTTGTTAGACAAAAAACATAGCTGATCATATCACGCAAAAATGTAACAACATATTTATCTGCATTTATCTGAAAATATAATTATTATCTATTATAAATTATTATTAAAGAATCATAAACAATAATACTGTTCTTATATCCATTGAATTAAACATTAGAAAATATAAAAGAAAATATTAATTATATAAAGTTAATTAATAGCAATAATATTACGTAAAATGTGTTTTTAAGGGAACTACATTTAATAGTCGATTTTTTTCAACAATAAATGTTAATACGTACGTCGTAGTAATGAAGAAAGGAGGAGATATGTATAGGTGCATTTAAACATATAAATATGCTTGAAATAATAACAAGCATTTTTGTGACCTTTATATGATTCGATTCACTGGCAGAACTTGCAGTAGACAATTTTCTCTCATTGGGAACATCAGGAGTTAAAAACAAGTTTTCTCGAACACGATTCTGCTTGCGAATGGCACATACTATCAGAGTATTGAACGACACTATCATTGTTATTGGTAAGACCAACGTTAAAATAGCATCAATAATGAGTAAAACCGTCCACCAGTACGTCAAGTTTGATTTCTCAAAATGTGTTTCCTCAAGATCAAAATTTAGTGTTATCAAACTTTGTATAATCAACCATGGAGTAGCGTATATAATTGCAAATATTAGCAGTCCGATCACCACGGTTTTCGCTCGGCTGACTGTGCACCAGGAGCGACGAAGTAGCGGCCACTTGATCACTACATACCGTTGAACAGTAAAGGCCACTACAATCCATATACTCAGGAAACAAAATAGCCATCGTAAACCAAACAAAAACACGTACAACCAAACTTTGTAATGTATAATTTGCATCCATCCAAGCCACATCAGGAATGCCGCCGTCAACACACCACTGTCGCTCATCGCAAGTGCACCCAAGTAGATGCTGGACGAGTTGTAACGTAATTTTGTGCCCAAAAGCACACACACGCATAGAACATTGCCCAGTACACAAAGCCACAAGAAAGTCGGTATGTAGTACTGTTTGATGTGCTCTACCACATGTAATGTTGAATTACCTTCGTCGTTCATCCTTGCGTATCGATGCGTATCTTTGTATTGTTAGCAGCAGTTGTGAACGCGGAAAAAAGCAGAAAGTGTCTGAACATAGAGTGGAGAAAACCTTGTGTTTTACCCAATGTCAAATAGTTCCGTGTTAATATAAACTGCAGTTCGATTATAAACCGGTTCATATAAACCGGTTTGATTAAAAAATAGTTAGCGCGTTTTACTGCCTATTTATAAAGTCGATACTGCCGTACGGTTGAAAAACTGGATACAGGTCCGTGTTTCGTTTTTTAAAATTCTGCATAATATAAATGGAATTTAGTAAAACATGTACCACTGTGATATACACTGTGGCTATAGTTTGATTAAGTATTCTTAATATAACTGTTACTATGATTCGAAAATACCATGTAATTTTAGATCAAACACCAGTTATACACTGTACTGTTTTCGAGCTTATTTGCTAATCCCAGAGCTGACTCCATGTATTTAGGTTATTAGAAATTGCTCTCGTGAGAACCAGTGAGTGATGTATACATTGTTCGATACATTATGCGTGGTAGGAAAAGTTAATTAAATTTTTTTATAAAATAATTTTAATTGAATTTTTATTTAAACATTGTTAATTGCACATTAATTTTTAATTAAAAAAATTTAATTATATATGCAACGTATGATTTCTAAGGCATAAAGTATAAAGTAAAATAAACAATTATTGTATAAAATAAAAAAACAAATATAAATATATATATATATATATATATATATATATATATATATATATATATATATATATATATATATATATATATATAGTATATAGTATATATATATATATATATATATATATATATATATATATATATATATTATATATATATATATATATATATATATATT